ATAGAATAGAATAGAGTAGAGTAGAGTAGAGTAGAGTAGAATAGAATAGAATAGAATAGAATAGAATAGAATAGAATAGAATAGAATAGAATACTTTATTGGCCAAGTGTGATTGGACACACAAGGGATTTTTCTTGGTGTAAATACTCTCAGTATACATAAAGAAAAGATACATTCGTTAAGAATCAAGGATCATAACGTACAACACTTAATGATAGTCATAGGGTATAATCAACCATCAAATCATACTAGGAAACCGTCAATATAAATCATAAGGATACAAGCGACAAAGTTACAGTCCTACAATCACAAGTGGGAGGGGAGAGGTGATAAGGAGCGATGAGAAGATTAACAGAAATAGTAGTGCACACTTTGTAAATACTTGGACAGTGTTGAGGGAATTATTTGTTCGGCAGAGTGATGGCTTAACCAGGAAAAGAGACTCTTTCAAAAATATTTTCATTTTTAGGGCTGTGACTTATCTTCTGAGCTCAGAGTTAGGGTGACTCCTTTTAGCTTTCTTTTCAAAATGGCCTTGAATCCAGTGATTTCCAATCTTGGCAACCTTTAAGACCCGTGGACTTCAACTCCCAGAATTCTCCAGGTAGAGTATGTGAAGCCTTTGTAAAAATTGTACATTCCAGGTTTTATCTGGCACAGAGGTCCATGTGGACTGGGACCAGAGGTGGTATTCAGCAGGTTCTGACCAGTTCTGGAGAACCGGTAGCAGAAATTTTGAGTAGTTCGGAGAACCTGCAAATACCACCTCTGACTGGAGATTTTACAGTATCCTTCCCCTGCAAAGCCCACCAAGCCACGCCCACAGAACTGGTAGTTAAAAAAAATTGAATCCCACCACTGACTGGGATCCTTGCTAGTCACTAACTTTGGATATATTGTGATATTTATTATAATGCATCATGCTGTAACTTGTGTGGTTGTCTGTAGGCAGGGATGAACAGGTTGAACATGTTTAATTTACCCCTTTGAACGTTGCGCTGGAGATCTGCACTGCCATCTAGTGCCCAACTTGGGCTACTGCTACATTTGCAGTGAAGGCCACAGGCACAAAAAACATGTTTTCCTTGAGCCACACACTTGGTGTTTTCTAATTCAGGGCATCAAAGGCAGAATTGACAAGAGTCCTGCAATAGGTGGCAGTATCTGGCTGGCCCTTCGGCTGAACAAAATTCAGTGCTTCTATCTCTATCTGGAGATTCCGCCATGGAATGCTAAAAAAGTAGGAATAGTTGCCTAGCTGGCATTGTTAATCCTTGTTGCTTGAATGCAAGGTAAATTTTAGAATTAGTTTATTGGAGGCAGCCTTGTTTGTGTGCTCCAATTGCTTCATCTCTTTGGCATGGCTAGAAAACAGCCGGCTGGGTCTTGCTTTAATTCAGGGGTGTCCAATCTTGGCAACTTTAGAATCAGAATAGAGCTGGAAGGAACCTTGGAGGTCTTCTAGTCCAGCCCCCTTCTCAAGAAGGAGATCCTATACCATTTCAGACAAGTGACTGTCCAGTTTCTTCTTGAAAATCTCCAGTGATGAAGTACCCACAACTTCTGGTGGCGAGCTGTTCCACTGGTTAATTGTCCTCACTGTTAGGAATTTCTCCTTAATTCCAGGTTGCTTCTCTCCTTGATTAGTTTCCATCTATGATACCTTGTCTTGCCTTCTGATGCTTTGGAAAATAAGTTGACCCCCTCTTCTTTGTAGCAGCCTCTCGAATACTGGAATACTGCCATCATATCCCCCCTAGTCCTTCTTTCCTCTAGACTGGCCAAACCTAAACCCTGCAACCGTTCTTCATATGTTTTAGTCTCCAGGCCTTTAATCATCTTAGTTGCTCTTCTTTCCCAGAGTCTCAACATCTTTTTTGTAACGTGGTGACCAAAACTGGATGCAGTATCCCAGCTATGGCCTTGCTAAGGCTTTATAAAGCGGTGCAAATACTTCACGTGGTTTTGATTCTGTGCCTCTGTTTATACAACCAAGGATTAGAGGTTTAGAAGTGAATACATCTACTTAATATATAAGTAGCCCAGGTTCGAATCCCAGAAGGGTATGGCTAGCTGACGAGAGCTAAATACCTTGAAATAGATCTATACTAGTCCCCCTTTATTTCTTCGTCGGTAAATATAAATTTAACACAAAAACAGTTTGTCGCCAAAGCGACTTCCTGCGAAGGCTCCTGGATTGGGGCTGAAGGGTGAAAGCAGAAGCAGTATGCTCCGTCCCATATTTGGGTAGACCAGGTTGCCCTGATTAAAAAAAAAACAAGAACCACACACACTCAACCAAGGATTGTATTAGGTTTTTGGCCGCTGCTGCACACTGCTGACTCATGTTTAAGTCATCATCCACTAACATGGCTGGCTGGGAAATTCTGGGACTCGAAGCCCACAGGCCTTAAAAGTTTCCAAGTTTGGACGGGGGGGTCCAAACTTGGAAACTTTTAAGGCCTGTGGACTTCAATTCCCAGAATTCTCAATATGGCCACGGCTGAGAATTGTGGGAGTCAGGAGAATCAGTTGTGAAAGTAACTGACAGATGATGCATAATGCTTAAAGTAGGGGGGTACTTTAAGCATTATGCATCATCTGTCAGTTACTTTCACAACTGATTCTCCCGACTCCCACAATTCTCAGCCGTGGCCATATTGAGAATTCTGGGAATTGAAGTCCACACAGTCCTCACCAAAGTTGAGAAGTCCTTGAGTAAGCTTTCTTTTCACCTTGCCTGAAAGTCTCAATCTGTAAAAATCATGCTGTAAGCGATTCTCGTGAGAGGCATCTTAGCCAAGGATCTTGAAAGGTGAGGTCCTTGACTCCTTAAGTTTTGTGTGGGTGGTCCAGAACTGGTTAAGGAGTGATTAAAATACTCTCTCTCTGTGTCTCTGTGTGTCTGTGTGTGTCGTCTGTGTTGTGGCAGCTGATGAGTAAGTAAAATTCAGTGCTGGAACCCGGTGGAGTTGTGTTGACAGTTTGGTAGCGGTACTTGTAGGTACTTGTTTGTTTGACTCTTGATGATATCTTTATTAAATAGTGAAATTTAAAGCCAGCCATTAAAATACAAACAAACATAAAAGGGAAATGGGAAGGGGAATAAAAAAACAAATGAAAAGTGTGTGTGTGTACATATATAAATACACACACGTATCTATATATGTATATATGTGTGTGTGTATACATATATCAAATAAATTTCTAACAGTAATGACCTCTGACTTTAAAAAATATAATAACAATATAACCACCTCTCCCTAAGTTTAAACAAGTGCTACCAATTTTTAAAATATTTTACTGATAGAAGAGAATATTTGTAGCTCAGGGTGGAGCAGCTGAGTTCGTGGTGCTCTCTGAGCCTGCTCTCTGAGCCTTTCTAGCAGATGTTTCATTATCAAACTGGCTAACATCATCAGTGCATTTAAAATTATCTATCTATCTATCTATCTATCTATCTATCTATCTATCTATCTAGAATAGTTTATTGGCCAAGTGTGATTGGACACCCAAGGAATTTGTCTTGGTGCAAATACTCTCAGTGTACATAAAAGGAAAGATTCATTCGTCGAGAGTCGAGCATCATCAGGTACAACACTTAATGATAGTCATAGGGTACAATAAGCAATCAAGTCATACTAGGAAACAGTCAGTGTAAATTGTAAGGATACAAGCAACAAAGTTACAGTCATACAGTCATAAGTGGGAGGGGATGGGTGATAAGGAGTGATTAAAATACTAATGATCAATATTATAAAAAATATTCATAATATATTCATCTCTTAATTTTTTAATGGTAGATACTTGTTGAACTCGGTTCCTTAGATAATTCTTAACTTACAACAGTTCATTTAGTGACCGTTTAAAACTACAACCGCACTGAAAAAAGTGACTTATGGCTGTTTTTTCACACTTAACGACCGTTGCAACATCCCCATGGTCACATGATCAAAATTCAGACGCTTGGCAACAGACTCGTATTTATGACGGTTGCAGTATCCCAGGGTCACGTGATCCCCTTTTGCAACCTTCTGAGAAGCCTAGTCAATGGGGAAGCCAGATTCACTTAATGACCGTGTGACTAGCTCAGCAACTTCGGGGATTCACTTAACCACTGCAACAAGAAAGGATGTAAAATGAGGCATGGAAATAACAGCAATGGAAATTTTGAGCTCAGCTGGGGTCATAAATTGAGGATTATCAGCAGCTCATGAGTGTTTGTTTGTTTTTAATCCAAAGGGACTGGACGGCTAACCCCTGGCCCTTCATTAAGCAACAGGGCATCAATTCTGAAGCTTATTTTTTCATCACCTTTTTCCTGTTTCAAAAACTTATTTGCATTACTGTCATGCCCCTGGTGGAGACTGACTCTGAGGAGGAGGAGGAACAGCCGACAGGGAGGGGAAGTGTGGCTCCGGAGGTTATGGAGGAGGCAGAGGCAGGCTGGGCAGTCAGAGGAGGACCCAGGCCCATCCCCTACCCATCCTAGGGCACGCAGGGAGAAGAGGATAAGGGAGAGACTTGGTCTACTCGGGAGGAGAGGCCCTTGATCCTCTTCATGGGTTGCAGCTGTGACAACTGGATAAGAGGACAGACATGCGTAAGGGCGAGTGCTGGAAACAAAGCGTGGAAATATCTCTAGTTTATTGTTCCTCTCTGAGTTGGGCATCCTTCCCAGTCTGTGTTCTGATGTCTGTGGATGTCTTCAAGCCCTTATTTTGCCTGGTTTGTGTTTTGTTTTTTTTTACCCTTTATAATTTAAAAGGCATTTCCTCCTTCTTGTAACTGCTTGTATGGGAGTTTTTGTCTCCAGTCAAGGATATTTGGAGCTTGGAAGCAAAGTGAAGGAATAAAAGGGGCTTCACCTGGTTTTTGTGACTGTTTATTTTGTATTCTACCCTGGGTCATCACAATTACGCTCTTGATATTCCAAGTTTTGATTTGATACTCCAAATTTTGATTTGTCTAACCTTCTTGCTTTTCTTCTCCCTTTCAGTTCATTTTGGCTGTGGATCACAACTCAGATAACAAGAATTATTGGAGGTCAGTCACTATTAAAACTTCTTTCTTTTAAAGTTTGCAGGCCTTTTGATTTGATCTTTTTCTGTGGCTTCAAGCACAGGTAGTCCTTAACTTACAACAGTTTGTTCAGTGACCATTCAAATGTGGCGAGAAAAGTCATAAAATGGGCAAGGCTCACTTAACAAATTTCTCAGTTCACCACATAAATTTTCGGCTCAATTGCGGTCATAACAAGTCGAGGACAACCTGTCTTTGAAAAGGTATTTAATGTTTGAAAAATGAAAAATGTTGATATTCTTAAAACTCAGGTGCTGTTTTTTTTTTCTTTATTAGCGGTACAAACCTTCTTTGCGGGCACGATGAGTAACAAACCACCTCCGGACGAGAAGCTTCTGGAACTGAATTTACATTCCCATTTCATCATCGGCTCCATTTCGGAGGATAACTCTGAAGATGAGACAAGCTCCTTGGTGAAAATTGATTTGCTGGAAGAAAAAGAGCAGTCCATCTCTCCGGTCTCCGTCAGTTCGGACTCTCTTTCCGACCTCAGTTCCTCCAGTGCTCAAGAGGCCCTTCACATGAGGTAGAACCAAATGAAACCCCATATTTCAAATAAGGGTCGTTCTCAATTCACAACAGTTCATTTAGTGACCGTTCAAACTTACAATGGTACTGAAAAAAGTGGCTTTCCTTTGCACAAAATTGGAAAAATGAGAAAATTTCCTCAGGGGAGGAAACAATTAAGAAAATAATGAAATGTGCAGAAATGAGTAGATTGACAATGGCAATTAGAGAACAGGAAGAAAAAGATAATTATAAGATTTGGAATTCTATGAATGGTTAGACAGAAGAGTAAGAAATAGAAACGTGTAATAATAGTAGTAATATATCATAATTGATTGATTTAGATTGAGTAAGAGAATGAATATAATATAGGTAAGGATGAAATATATTTTTGAAAGATAATAATTACAATGTTAATGATAATATAACAATTGACCAGTGTAATATAAAATACTGATTAGAATGGTTTTAAATATAAACAACTAAGAAATGTATGATAATACCGTGTTTCTCCAACAATACGGCCTCCACCAATAGGAAGCCCCAGCATGATTTATTGGCATAAAATCAAATTAAGCCCCTCCCCCCAAATTAAGGCCCATATTAAACATGCAAAATGGGGGGGGGAATGGCAGGGGGGGGATGGCGGGTGGTGGGGGCTTGCCGTTAGGAAGTACTTTGTTGCATGCCCGGATATGGTGCTGCCTGCGTTGGTGGAGCACTTCATATCGGGAGACCTTCCGCCACCGTTAATTTCCCTTCTCCCTTGCTGCCGTAGCGTTACAGCAACGCCGCAGCGTTTGGCGCAGCCACGTGCAGCCAGTCAGGGCTCCTCCCTGCAACCGGAGCCCTGAGGAGACACTTGGCTTCAGGCGCTCCTGTGGCTTCGAAGGTAAAGTGAATTATTTTAAAAACCTCCGCTCATCCTATCAGGGCCGTGCGAGCTGAGCAGAGCCGGGAAAGCAAGCCGTGGGTATTTCCTGGTTCTGCCCAGCCCGTACGGCTCTGCCGCGGCCCTGGCGGGATGAGCGGAGGTTTTTAAAATAATTCACTTTACCTTCGAAGGCAAAGGGAAGGCGGCCACAGGAGCGCCTGAAGCCAAGTGTCTCCTCAGGGCTCCGGTTGCAGGGAGGAGCCCTGACTGGCTGCACATGGCTGCGCCAAACGCCGCTGCGTTGCTGTAACGCTACGGCAGCAAGGGAGAAGGGAAATTAACGGTGGCGGAAGGTCTCCCGAACATCCAAGCTGTCGCCGCCCGCCCACCCGAGGATGCAAGGGGGGGGGGGAAATTAAGTCACCCCCGAAAAGACGGCCTATCCGGTTTTTCGGGGGTAAAAAAAAAAAAAAAAAAGGCCCGGCCTTATTATGTGAGAAACACGGTATTATTATGTGCACAAGAAAGATGGTTTTATTTATTTTTGTTAAAAAAAACTTTTTTTTAAAAAAAAGGACTCCTTTTCACACTTATGATTGTTGCAACATCCCCATGGTCATGTGATCAAAATTCAGACGCCTGGCAACAGACTCATACCGCGTTTCTCCGAAAATAAGACTGGGTCTTATATTAATTTTTGCTCCAAAAGATGCATTAGGGTTTAATTTTCCAGCTAGGTCTTATTTTCAGGAAAATAGGGTTACTAAATGCGTCTGTCTGGCTGACACTCTTAACGGGGTTATTTTTGGGGTAGAGCTTATATTACGAGCACCTAGCAAAATTATGCTAGGGCGTATTTTCTGGCTGGGTCTTATTTTCAGGGAAACAGGTATTTATGACAACTGTAGTCTCCTGGAGTCACGTGATCCCCTTTTGTGACCTTCTGACAAGCAAAGTCAATGGGGAAGCCAGATTCACTTAATGACCGTGTTACTAACTTAATACCTGCAATGATTCACTTAACAGCTCCGGCAAGAAAGGTCATAAAATGAGGAAAAATTCACATTTCACTTAACAATAGAAATCTTGGGCTCAATTGTGGTCATAAGTCGAGGATTACCTGTATGGAATTCTTAAAAATGGCAACCTTTTCTTGTTGCTCTAAAGCAGGGGTGTCCACCCTTGGCAACTTTAAGACATGTGGACTTCAACTCCCAGAATTTCCCAGCCAGCCATACTGGCTAGGGAATTCTGGGAGTTGTAGTCCACATATCTTGAAATTGGCACGATTAGGCCCCCTTATTCTAAAGGTTCTTGCAAGTTCAGTACTGAATCACAGAAGGGAAGGCAGAAGGAAAACATGGGATGCATCTCACTTTTGAAGGTGTAGGTGAGTCTATGGCTTGGCCACATGGAGGGAACCAACCAGATCATTAGCCTGGCACAATGCAGAATTTGGAGATGGGCTAGCCAAACAAAATATTCTTGATGGTTTTCTTTAAAAAAAAACTTAAACAAACTTTTGTTTTTCTCCTTCAGTTAGAAGTATCAAAAAGCAAATCACAGAGTGTTTTCCAAAGAGTTAATTTTGGATAGGTATGAATGGCTGGATATTACAGCCATTCGTTTAGTGACTGTTCAAAGTCGTAAAATGGGGCAAACTTCCCTTAACAACTGTCTTGCTTACAAATTGAAATTGCTTAGTACAGGTAGTCCTCAGCTTACGACCACAATTGAGCCCAAAATTTTTGTTGTTAAATGAAACATTCGTTAAGCAAGCTTTGCCCCATTTAACGAACTTCCTTGCCCTGGTTTTTAAGTAAATCACTGCAGTTGATCAGTTAGTAAGCTGGTTGTTAAGGAAATCTGGCTTCCCCGTTGACTTGGCTTGTCAGAAGGTCGCAAAAAGGAATCACGTGAAACTGGGAACACTGCAACCGTCATAAATATGAGTCCGTTGCCAAAAATGCGACTGCATTTTGATCACATGATCATGGGGCTGCTGCTAAGGTCGTAACTGTGAAAAACTGTCATGTCACATTTTTCAATGCCAATGTAACTTTGAACGGACACTCGGCTGTAAGTTGAGGATGACCTGTAATGGAAATAGTTGTAAGTCGAGGAATACCTGTACTATGCTGCCCAATTACTGTGGGAATGGATGTTTCAACACATTGGGAAGCATTAGAACTGGAAAGGGATGTTTGTTTGCTCTGACTCACTGAGAAGTTCTTGATCGATTGATTGAAGAGCCCTTGAAGTTCACCAAAACTATGTTTGCAACCCAGTTGCTGTAGAGCGGGAGTGTCAAACTTGATTTCATTGAAGGCCGCATCAGGGTTATGTCTGACCTTGGAGGCTGGAGATGGGTGTGGCCGGAGTGGGTGTGGCCAGCTCAACATCATTTGTGTTGGGGGCGCCTGTGGCAGCCTGATTGCTCAGCCAGGGGAAACAGGCTCCCGAGCTCCGTTTTCGGCTGCAACGGCTTCTTGCAACCCTCTGCCCGCGAAAACAAAGCTCCCGAACTCCATTTTCGCTTGCAGAGGCACCGCGGGCCGCTCCTTCACTGTTTCCAGGGTGGCTCCATGGGCCAGATCTAAGCACCCCATGGGCTGGATCTGGCTCGCCGGCCTTGAGTTTGACACCTCTGTTGTAGAGCGAGGTTGGCTGAACCATCTTCTTGGAAGAGTGTTGCGGTTTTTGTGTTCGCATTCGTTAACAAACATACGAGAACCTGCAATTACACTGGTTAGCATTCTCCATTCCCTCTTCAAGTCTGATTCGAGCGTTGCTTTCTTCCAAACGATTCCATTTTATTCCTGCCATTGAACATTGAACATCAGTCCTTGTTAACATATTTTGAAGTATCTTTTATTGGGGGAACTTCAATCAGATTCCTTTTTAGATGTCAACAGTGTGTGGGATTCCTGAAAACCTGCAAGAATCATAATATCCACAGAGGTCAGTTTACTTGTAGGAACTCCTAATTGGCATCAATGCAAAATGAAGCAAAACCAAATTTGTTTATAGATTAAAATAACAGAATAACAAAGCTTGGAAGGGACCTTGGAGGTCTTCTAGTCCAACCCCCTGCTCAAGCAAGAGATCCTATACCATTCCAGGCAAGTGACTCACCCCTCACCATATTAGCAACAGCAATAGCACTTATATACCGCTTCACAGTGCTTTTCAGCCCTCTCTAAGCAGATTACAGAGTCAGCGTATTGCCCTCCACAATCTGGGTCCCCATTTTAACCGATCTCGGAAGGATGGAAGGCTGAGTCAAACTTGAGCGGTCAGGATTGAACTCCTGGCAGTGGGCAGAGTTAGCCCACAATAGCAATAGGACTTAGACTTATATACCGCTTCACTGTGCTTTACTGCCCTCTCTAAGCAGTTTACAGAGTCAGTGTATTGCCCTCAACAATCTGGGTTGTCATGTAATGGATCTCGGAAGGATGGAAGGCTGTGTCAACCCTCAGCTGGTCAGCATCGAACTGCTGGCAGTAAGCTGTGAGTTAGTCTGCAATACTGCATTCTAACCACTGCACCACCATGGCTCAGTATTAGTCTTTAAAAATGGAATAAGAAAGAACAAAGGTGGTCCTCGACTTGTGACACGTGACTGAAATTTGGATGCTTGGCAACTGGTTCATATTTGTGACCATTGCTATGCCCTAGGTTTTACGACCTTCTGACAAGTAAAGTCAGTGGGGAAAACCAGATGCAGGTGTCAACTGCATGACTTAACTGAACAACTGCAGTGAGTCACTTAACAACGGTGGCAAGAAAGGTTGCAAAATGGTTCAACATTCACTTAGCCACTGTCTCGCTTTACACCAGAAAGTTTGGGCTCAATTGTGGTTGTAAGTCGAGGACTACCCGTAATCTTCTTGGAATATGCTTGAAAAAAATTATTTAAAATAAACTTTCCTGGTATTCATGCTCTCTTAGCCATCTTGTCTTTAACTTCCTTTCATGAGAAGTAACCAAGCACGGTAAAGTCTGTAGAGATTCTCAGTCCTCCAGGTCATGGTTGTCCCAAAGGTGCTTTTTCAGGAGGCAACTGGACTTTCTTCATTTTTTCTTTTGAAGATATTTCGCCTCTCATCCAAGAAGCTTCTTCAGTTCTGACTGGATGGTGG